TTTAAATAAATATTCAAAATTAAAATACCAAGTTACAGTTTCTCTGTTTTTATTCACTATCTAAAACACATTTCATTCAATAACATTATAATATTTAAAGAAATCAAAGTATTTAAAGCTTCAAGTTAAGCACAAAACTCCATAAAAATCTTTAAAATAATTTTTAAGTTTTTATATAAAAAATAGATATGACCAATATTACAAAATAACAATAGCTAATATCTATCATACAGATTAATATCTGTAGAATTTTATTTATACATTTTCTTTTTTCTTACTTTATCTTTCATATTTATAGAGAGGGAATTCAACTCACTTTCAGTTTATTGTCTACTCACAATATTAAAATGACACAATCTAATGTGTTATATCTATATATCTATTAAGTGAGAAACAGGAAAATGGTTTTCAATAAAGTAAATTGTAACAAAATTGAAACTTATAATTCAGGTTATTACATCTTACCGGTACTCTTGCATAAATGTGACGATAATAAAGTTCTTTATATAAAATGAGGAAAATTTCATCTAAACAGAAAAAAAATAATTATCTATAATATTCCTAAATAAAATATTTCCTTATGTACTATTTACTATTTTTAATTAAAATAAACAATTTTTGTGTTGTTAGAACTAATTTTTTAATATATTTTTAAATTTTATTTATTTTTTTATTTTTATAAATCTGGTAATTGTAATTTTTTATATTCTATAAAAAGTAGTTTTTAATAATAAATAATATATACACACAATTAACATACAGACTTAAATATTAAATTCATAAACAATATAAAAGATCTCATAAAGGAAAGCTAGGTATATCACAATTGAGAATGTTTTGTTTTGATAAATTATTAAATAATAAACTAAAGTTTTATTAGTAAAAAATATTCTATAAAATGTTCTTTCTTACAATAAAAACAAAATCAGCTAAATATATATATATCTCATTTTTTGCCTTTATTTGCCCTGTAGTGGGTTTTTTCCAGGCCTATCAAGGCTTAATGTATCCAAAACAGACTACACAAAAACTTCCTGGTGTTGCTCACCCATATGGTAAGCAGCTGCTTTAAAATAATACATGAAATATATATATATAGTTTAGTTCTTTTGGGTTATTTTCTTATAATCAAAAATAATTTTCAGACTTTGGGTACTAGTATAGAAGGGACATCATTTAAATTATATTCTGCACAGTATAGCACTAAATAGAAATGAAGATTTTTACACTTTACAGACTAAAAAATCAAACTACTAATTATTGGGCTGCAATTTGAAAAAAATTGTAGACCTATAAATTCCCACTCCAATCATCCAACATGTCTGTCAAGACCAGATATGGAAATCTTAGGAGCAAAAGACCCTGATTAACTAACTATATACAAACTTCTGATGAAAATTTTTTGAATTGAAATAACATGAATATTGTTATTTCAAGTTATTTCAATTCAAAAATTTTCCTTGAAAGGTGTTAGATAGATGACTGACACAACTCTATTGTTAAAGGAAAAGTATGATGTAATGACGAGCAAACCACTATTAATTTGAGGTGAAGAGCATATATTTGAAATTAAATAAATTAAAAATATGATTAAAAATTGTAGCCCAGCATTGTGATGCTGTCACAATANAGAGTTTGTATACTTTTAACTTAGTTATTAACTAAATTTTATTAAAATTTATTAGAAGACACTCCGACAGTTTCCTTGTGAGTGTCAAGAAAGAAATGTGTCTCGTATGTAATTAATGTTAGAAGAAGCATAGTACAAACTCATATCATAACAATTCTTCCTATAACAATGTCTAAACATGCTTTCATGATGTCACTAATAGTAATCAAGCAATTCTCCAATTTACAGAAACACCAAAAGTATTGTTACGACTATGTTCTGTAATTTATTCTTTGTTCTTATTATAAATCTTATCTGCATTTATTTTCCTAACAAATTTCTATATTGCTGTGTTATTTGCCATGTAGTATTTAAAATGTAATGTTTACAGTATGGCATGAAGACTATATGCTATTGCATACAAAACAATTGTTTGTTAACAACCATATTAACTGTTTGGTGACCAGAAGTAAAACATAATATAATGTCTATATTATGTTTTACTTCTGGTCACCAAACAGTTAATATGGTTGTTAACAAACAATTGTTTTGTATGCAATAGCATATAGTCTTCATGCCATACTGTAAACATTACATTTTAAATACTAAATGGCAAATAACACAGCAATATAGAAATTTGTTACTGTGTTTCCCCGAAAGTAAGACATCCGCAGAAAATAAGACTTAGCACAGATTTTGCCGAATTGCGAAATATAAGACCTCCCCCTGAAAGTAAGACCTAGCTAAGGTTTTTTTTAGTCGACAGATGGTTGAAAGTGGCTGTTGGCTTTTTGAAAGTACAGCCACTGATTGGTCAGCAGACAATTACGCCACACGGCATGATTTGCATAAGACTATGGCTTGGGAATCACAGATTTGCATAACGTTACGGCTGGTGATGGCTAATTGGTCGGCCGGGAATCATGCCACATGACATTTGCATAGTGCTACTGTTCAGTAAGCACTAATTGGTCATCGAGTCCGATGTTGACGCTATAAAAAGGCGACAGTTCGACACACCGGATATACGTCCCTCTCGTCTAAGTTCGACTTGGGAATTTTTTTGTTCAATAATAAATGTGAATTCTTCTTCCTGGAAAAAATAAGACAATCCCTGAAAATAAGACCTAGCGCATTTTTCAGAGCAAAAATTAATATAAGACACTGTCTTATTTTCGGGGAAACACGGTAGGAAAAACTTAAAACTCCTAACTAATCTGGAAAATTAAGTTAAACACAGTACAGACATTATATTGTGTTTAACTTAATTTTCCAGATTAGTTAGGAGTTTTGGGTTGACACTGTAATGCATTATAATTTTTCCACATTCAAAATGATGGTAATAGGCTCCTGGTTTATATTTATGCACAGAATATCTGATTTTTTAAAAAATTCTTTCCACTTTAGACAGTAACAGGGCCTTTTAACAGGTCCATGGTGGGTTTGGCCAGGCCCACAATGGGTGACTGGATGGTGATAAACAGGACCCAACATATCCAGGACAGACCTCCCTCAAAAAATTCCTGGAGATTTTCAACTGCCTGGATTCAATCCTGGGTCCCTTAACCTTAGCTGATTTGACCATCTGGCCAGATGATTACTGATGTTAAGCAGGAATACCTACATTTAAACTTTACTAACAAATTGGTTAAAATATCATTGTATTTAAAATCCACTAACAACTTTTTTCAATAAAATTCAACATCAAAGATTATTATTAAATATTTAAATTGTAGAAAAAATTTAAATATTAAACAAGGTATTTAGCATTAACTTAAATAAAAACAACTTATTTTTGATACAAGCATAATGTTTAATATAAAAGATGGATTTGTTAGAAATGAACTTATGTGGATAAAAGTAATTACTGATAAAAGTAATTTAATAAACATTTACTAAATGTTTAGTAAAAATATGATTATAACTCCAAATATTTAAACTAAATAAATTTTTAATGTGTTTTGCAAAAGTATTCAAGCTCACTATGAAAATTTATATGAATAAATTACACAATATAGGAGAAAGTCAATTAGAACAGCTTAACTACTAATTATATATGTATTAAATATATATAGCCAAATAATTAAAATAATAATATTTACATTTTTATTAAGGTCAATATTCTCTAAAACTTTTATGGCTTGATGATAGTCTCCCAACAATGAATGAAGACGAAGTAAAGCAACAAGACTGAAATAACCAAGCATTTTATATAAAAGATGACGACCAAATTCTCCAGCTACACTGTCTGGATCTCCTAAATAAAAATAATAATAATAAACAAGTTTAAAGATTATGGAATTCATTTTCAAAATTCATTTTAATTATCTATTTATACCTCCACTTGTATACACTTCCAATTGGCAATTGATATTTGATTTATCTACAAGTGAATGTAAAACATTCAATACACTATGGACATTCCACACCTGAAAATATAAAATGACAAATAAAGATTAAGCAATTCATCAATATATCACAAAACTCCAACAAACCTTTGGATTCGATCGGAGCAATTCAATTTCTTCAGGACTTTTTTTACCTAACATGCTACGATAATGTCCAAATGCCTGAAACTATAATAAATTTTGTAAATATATATATATATATTATTTTCAGTTATAACTTTACATTAGAATTAAAAATGAATTTTAATAAATTTTAATAGTAAAAGAAAAACATTTATTTATGCAATTTCTAAATAGTTTTAAAACTTCAATGTTAATTAAATTACTAGCATTGAATACTGTTTAGAATTAAGTTTGAATTGACTGAATTTTTTTATTTTTTATTTTGTTAAAATTAATATTACATGAGGAGTCTGATAGTAAAGGTACAGGCCAAAATTACACTAACATTTATGATTTAAAAAAATATTTACTTAATCACAAAAACTACATACTTTTATTTTTTGCATAATTGCCATAAACCAGGGGTCCAATCTTTTTGTTTCTCTGGCCGCATTGGAAGAAGTCAAGGAGTTTTGGGCCACAAGTATATATTATATATACTTGTGGCCTAATATACAAGTATATTTAAGGATTAACACGTCTAGATTGTAATAATAAGTATTAAAACTTTATCACAAAAAGGGTTATTTTAAAAAATTACTTTTACGGACACTTTCAATTTTTACTTAGAAATGGATAAATTCATTTATTATAAAAGAGAGAAACGAAAATTTATTTGAAAAACACAAATATTTGTTTTATTTGGGTCTCTGGTTAATAAAAAGCAATGAAACACTATTTTAAAATGCATTTTTATTCAACAAATATATTTACAAATAATACTAGCTGCAAGGACCCGCTTTGCTGGGTTTTTATTTGTATGTAATATAGTTTTTTTTTTTATATATAAAAGATTGTTTTTCTAAGTAATCTAGAATCTAGCTGCAAGGACGCTTCGCTGGGCAAAAAGTAACGATAGTGAAGATTAAGATAATTACATTATAGCCAATCTTACCCGTTTTCACAGAATGCAAGAATTAGGTCCCCCGTTTCCAGACTAATTAGAGAATTTTTACACGAGTCTAAAAAATATGTTCGATTTCCCGCAAAAACGCAAAACACTGCCTGTAAATCTTGCATGCCGCTTTATATTAACACTTCCTTTGTTACTCAACACTTCCATTGTTAACACTTCTATTGTTGACACTTCCATTGTTACACATGTTCGAAGTCAACCACTTTCAACCCCATATCTCCCACACCCTTATAGCACAGAATGCAAGAATTAGGTCCCCCGTTTCCAAACTAATTAGAGAATTTTTACGTCCAGTCAAACGAACTATTTTCAATTTGATCAATTTTCTGGAACGTTTACAATCGTTCTATAATCGAACCAATTCGAATTTAAAACGGTTCGAACATTTTTAAAATCGAAATAGAAAATCTTCAAAGTCAACCACTTTAAGCCCCCATATCTCCCGCACCCTTACAACTATTGAGACACAACCACCATAGGCACGAATGGAGATTTGGGGCTACTACCACATACAAACACCATCCATGTGCGATGTGTAGTTTTGGCTGAAAAGTGAAATATAGGGACACACATGTCAATTATTATATATATATATATAGATGTAGCCAAAGCATCAAACGATATTTTTTACGTCAAACTAAAAAAAGTAGCCACATTTGGCACAATGTAGCCAAATCTTGCAATGCTGGAAGAAATACTAAATAAAGCTGGAGTTGTGACTCCAAGGATTATAGACTCAAATGCAGGGAAAGAAGAGAAAGGACAAAAGATAAAGAAGTGAGAAAGATTTGAAAATTAATGGTCAATATTTACATAACAGAAGATCTATTTAACCTTTCTCATTTTATCTTTTGTCCTTTCTCTCCTATTCCTCCTTTTTCCAAATTTGGGTCTAAAATCCTTTGAGTCACAACTCCAGCTTTATTTAGTAATTCTTCATCATCCACACATCTCCAAGTATTCAAAAATATTTCCTTTTCAATCAAAAATAAAATATGAATAAAGATTACGGCTTTGTGAAACTTCTTTTTTTGAGTTTATGCCGTTGAAATAAATAAATAATAAAAATATTAAAACATTTGTCGGTTTTGTTTACGCATTTATCGGGCTGCATTGGAACTTGTCTTGGCTGCATAAGGACACCCCTGCCGTAAACGTTGAGACATTTATTCCAGCATAACACTAGTTTGAACATCCCTTCACAGTACTGTTGCTTGTCAAATTGCTTGAAGTAGTCCAGAACAGTCTCTTCCAATTCCTCCTAATCTGCAAAGTGTTTCCCCACCAAAAATTTCTTTAAAGTTCCAAATAAATGAAAATCCAATGGAGAACTAAATCTGGACTATACGGAGGAAGTTGCAGGACCTTCCAATTCCACTGTGCCAACCACAGTTTGGTTTGATTTGACACGTGGAGTATAATCCAGCTTTAGCCCCCTCGTATTTTCATTTATTCGGATCCTTAAGGAAATTTTTGGCAGGGAAACGCTTTGCAGATCTGGAGGAATTGGAAGATACCATTGTGGACTACTTTGAACAACTTGACAAGCAACAGTACCATGAAGGGATGTTCAAACTAGTATCATGCTGGGATAAATTTCTCAACATTTAAGGCAATTATGTTGAGAAATAAACAAATGTATGTAGTTTTTGTGGAATGTATTAAATATTTTTTTAAAATTATAAACGTTAGTGTAATTTTGTCCTATACCTGTAATATTGGACTCCCCTCATATAAATGATAATTTTTTTCTTCTTAAATTAAAACATAGTCAAATTAAATACTGTATTGACCTGAATATAAGTCAACTGCCATGGAATTCTTACTTTTTGAAGAAAATTAGAACCCAAATATAATTTTTTCCATTTATTCTTGATAAAGGTCATTAAATATGACTGGAAGTAATAATCTAACGAGTCTGTTATTTAGAAAGTGTTATCGCTCATCTAATATACATACAATTCATCTTTGTTTTATCAACATGGATTTAAAAAGACTTGCTATTTTATACATTTAAAAAAAAATAAGATAAAGTGCCTAAGGGAAAGTGTCAGAGTAAAATTGGTCAGGTAAGTTTGAATTTAATAAATACGGCTGCACATTTATAAGGTGTTTTGCGTGTGTTTTGTTGAAAAGTATAGACTACTTATTTTATGGAAATATTAGCTATAGAATAAACATTTTAGAGATTTTGGATTGGTGATTGCACTTACATTGCAGTAATGCTCATGCTTGATGAGGAACTTTCCCTTAAGTTGCATTTTTAAATATTTTAGCAAATGGCGTATTTTTAAACTTACTTCATTAAATTTAAAATTTAGACTTTAAAGGAAGATAGCTGCTTTCTGTCACTTCTATAATAACTTTTTTTAAAAATGTTTCCATAGGGACCATGTGACGTTCTATTATCCAACTGGAAGTAATAATCTAACGAGTCTGTTATTTAGAAAGTGTTATCGCTCATCTAATATACATACAATTCATCTTTGTTTTATCAACATGGATTTAAAAAGACTTGCTATTTTATATATTTAAAAAAAAATAAGATAAAGTGCCTAAGGGAAAGTGTAAGAGTAAAATTGGTCAGGTAAGTTCNATACTTCAGATGTTAATTTAGTATCAAAAACGTAAAATATTTGAGTAGCCCAAGACATAGCCACAGACTGAAGCACCACACCACTGGCAAAAATTTAAATTTGCCGACTGAAATTCTTTCGGATGATTGACTTTCGGAAAATCGACGCTCTACTGTAATAACAATTATAATTAATAAACCTTCAAGTTATATAGTTTTGAATTGTTTTATAACAGGTCTTTTTAATATCAGTCAATAAAATTGGAATTTCTACTAACTGTAATCTTATTTTATTTATTCTACTTAATGTTATCAGTCAGTTATTGTGATTAATATAGATGAGTTACAAAATACTTACAATAAGTGCATTCTACTGCATTAATAATTCATAATACTAAACAATAGTTATCATTCAAACAGTAAAATTAAATTTCATTACAAAAAATATTCATATTATTTATTGTAAAATGAATGTATTAAAATCTATTTTTATTTTTATATTGTGCTGTCCATAAAGATTTAAAATGTATGTATATATATATATATATATTGAAAATTATTAAATTTAAATTACTTTACCTGTTTTCATATAAATTTTGAGTTTCATATGCATTTCCGTCACTAATTGCTTTACGCAAATGGACTAAAAATTTACAAACAGGTTCTGGTATTTTATATGTTTGAGAATATTGCCTTTCCAAATCATAACTTGGACCTGAAAAATTTTAAACAGTTTTCTTTTACTATATGATAATTTATATCTACTTATAATTTATTCATTAAAAAATATATAATCATTTTAATAATTTAATTTAAACTCTATTGTAAAAATATCAAGGAATCAAACACAATGAAAACTAAATTATAGAAGTTATTAGCTTTATTTAGTAGAAACCATTTTGACTCTCTCAGTTTAACATCAACTATACTTTAAAACGAACTTCCAGATCAAATGACTAAAAATCAAAATATTATTTCATTATTAACTACCATACTCTATAGTTTAAAACATTTAAACTACAGAATATAAATTATATTTAAGTTTTAATTTCAATTCATATGATCTAGAAATTACCTTTAAAATGCTGCTGATGTAAGACTGAGAGGTTTGAAAATATTCTTGCTAAATAAAACTAATGACTTCTATAATTTGGTCTGTTTTGTTTTGATTGAATAGAGTTTCTATTTCCAAATTTTAATAATATATTATACTAGACAGTTCTTATTTTGTTATACAATTTCAAAATTATTCTGATACAGTATTTTTTTTTTAAGCTTTTTCTGTCCTGTGAGCACAAAGGGGTCTTTTTCCCATACTCATCATGTGTTTGGCCATCAATGGGACAATCTAGTGGTGAGAGACAGGACCTGACATATCCAGTTAAACTATCCCAAAAATCTTCCTTGGGATTTTTGACCACCCAGATTCAATCCCAGGTTTCCTAGAGCAGTAGGTTTAAACCTCAACTGTCTCAGTCATTCAACAAGTGAATATATTTTATTAAGTCACTGAAC